CCGCGATAGGCCGCAGCAACAGCCCACAAAGACGTACAGACAGGCTGGACACACGAACAGGCCGAGCTAGAGACAGACGGACCGATGGGCAGTGTGCGGTACAGGAAGCTCGGAAGACGCACAGACAGGTAGGCGGTTGGACATGTATGCATGTGTTGGCATGACGACAAAAGCGGAAGTGTGCTCCTGTACCGCCCCCACTTCTGCCTGTATGTTTAGGGAAGACTTGCCTCTCAGGTCAAAGCAAGTGGGGATCAATACGGGTCGTGCATGTTGGGCATAGAGCGCAACGATCTGGTGGTTGGGATCGACGACTGGTGGTACACCAGTCATTTGCCAAAGTAGTAGCTGAGGCGTTGTCAAGGCGTTTGGGGGGAGCAGAGCAAAAGTAGAGACCTTTGGAGGAGGGAAAGAAGCTCCAGGGAGAGGTGTCATCTGCCTAGGTCGTTTAAGGTGATGAAGGAATGAGAGTTTAATTTTCTAACAAGCACATAGGGAAGCATTGCTATGTGAAATTTAATGGAAACGGGATTGTGCGTGGCTAGACTGCTTACTCAAGAGTTACTAATTGTCTCGAAGGGTTTGAATATCTGAGAATAAGTTTGGCTATAATTATGATGATGGTGATGATGATGATGATGATGGTAGTGGCAGTGGTAGGGAGGATGATGATGGTGACGATGAAAGTGATAATGGGGATGATGATGATGATGATGATGATGGTAGTGGCAGTGGTAGGGAGGATGATGATGGTGACGATGAAGGTGATAATGGTGATGATGATGATGATGATGATGATGATGATGGTAGTGGCAGTGGTAGGGAGGATGATGATGGTGACGATGAAAGTGATAATGGTGATGATGATGATGATGATGATGCTGATGGTAGTGTCAGTGGTAGGGAGGATGATGATGGTGACGATGAAAGTGATAATGGTGATGATGATGATGAGGATGATGATGATGGTAGTGGCAGTGGTAGGAAGAATGATGATGGTGACGATGAAAGTGATAATGGTGATGAGGATGATTATGATGATGATGATGATGGTAGTGGCAGTGGTAGGGAGGATGATGATGCTGACGATGAAAGTGATAATGGTGATGATGATGATGATGATGATGATGGTAGTGGCAGTGGTAGGAAGGATGATGATGATGACGATGAAAGTGATAATGGTGATGATGATGATGATGATGGTAGTGGCAGTGATAGGAAGAATGATGATGGTGACGATGAAAGTGATAATGATGATGAGGATGATGAGGATGATGATGATGGTAGTGGCAGTGGTAGGAAGAATGATGATGGTGACGATGAAAGTGATAATGGTGATGATGATGATGATGATGGTAGTGGCAGTGGTAGGGAGGATGATGATGGTGACGATGAAAGTGA